GCGCTCTTGGGCCATTTTGGGGCTACCTTGTTGAGGCCTCAGAAGCCCATCGGACGCGAAAAGGCGAGACTGCAGAGCTCAGACTTCCAATGCCTGTTGAAAAGGATGTTGGACTCTTGGGGAGATCCCTGGGTGGCTCTGAGAGCACGCGGAGCCGTCTTGTGGCCCTCTTGGGGCATCGTTGAGGTATGTCGGAAGCTATCTTGAGGTATTGGGAAGGCCTTACGGCCGGTGCCGCCGACCCTGGAGACGACGGCGCTGACCTCGTGAAGAGGATGATGGGGAAGGCGCCTCGGGAAGAGGGGGAAGACGACACAGATGAGGCGCAACAGGTGCAGACACAGAGAGGGGGGGCAGGAGGAGGGAGGAGGAGGAGGAGGAGGAGGAAGAGGAGGAGGAGGAGGAGGAGGAGGAGGAGGAGGAGGAGGAGGCGAATCTGACCCCCCCACCCCGACACCCCCCGCCCCCTGCGCCGGGGAAGGGACAAAGGGAAGGGGCTTCCCTTTGACGTGATGAGGACGTGGATAGGATTCCCTCAAGCTGCGAACCATTTCCCCGAACGAGGAAGAGTGCTTTCTCTCTCCTCTCTCTCTCTCTCTCCCCCACGACGGGAGAGGAGGATGGGAAGGAGGGGACGAAAGAAGGCTCCCCGTCGACGGGACCGGACAGCCCCCCCACACCTTCTGCGGATGTTCGGCTATCTTGAGCCATCTTGGAGGCCATCTAGGAGCATTGGAGGCCCTCTTGGAGCCATCTTGGACGAAACAGGACCCCCTGACACCTCCGTCCCCATCCAGACCCCTGGGAGGGGGCAGTGGGAAGTGTAACCCCCTCCCCAAAGGGGCAGAAAAGGGTTGTGGAAAATAAAGAACTGGTTAGACCACCTACGTCCAGAGAGCTGGTGGGACTTCGAAGACGACTGTGCGCGGCGCTAAGGCGAGAGCCACATTTTGAACAGGAGCCGCCCTTCGTATTTGAAACTGTTACAAGCAAACTGTTAAGACGACTGTGCGTGGCGCTAAGGCGAGCGCCACATTTTGAAACAGACCCGCCCTTTCTGTGAAGCTGTCGTCAATTTTAAGACGAATATGCGCGGCGCTGAGGCGAGAACCACATTTTGAAAGGACTGCCATACATCCGTGGAGATGTTGCAACGCTCAAGCTTCAGGATTCACTGAGAGATGGTGGCGAAGTCTCAGGCGAACCCCCCAGCCCGCCCTGCCGACATGTCCGGGGGTGCGACAGGGAGGAGTTGTTCAGAACGAACAGGGATGGAGGAGGCGTAGGAGGATGAGAACGAGGAAGATGAGGAGGCAGGAGGAGGAGGAGGAGGAGGAGGCGGAGGAGGAGGAGGGGGAGGACCGGAGGAGGAGGCGGAGCAGGACGAGGAGAGCCGCAGGCTGGAGGCGGTCGTCAACGCGCCGGCGAGCGCGCGGGCCAGACTGGAGGCGCCTTGGGCGCATGTCGCCGTCGTCGTCGCCGCCGCCGCCATCATCGCCGTCGACTGCGAGGTCGTCGTCGTCGTCGTCGTCGTCGTCGTCATCGTCATCTTGTTCGTCGTCGCCGTGGCGGTCGTGGTCGTAGTCGTGGTCGTGGTCGTGGTCGTGGTGGTGATCGTCGTGTCCGTCGTGTTCGTCGTCGTGGTGGTGGTCGCCAGGGGAGCGGGGCGATAGGAGGGTGACTGCGGTCACCTGCTGCGCTGCTGCCCGCGTGCTGCCACTTGTGTGCCGCACTCCCTGGAACTCGTGGAACTCATGCAACAGTTTCAGGGAGGAGGAGGGGGGTGCACGAGTTCACGGGGGAGGCAGGAGGAGGAGGCAGGAGGAAGAGGAGGAGGCAGGAGGATGGAGAAGGGAGAACCAGTTTTGCTTTGGGAGGTGTCAGGGGGTTCACAGTCGGCGGTTCTTGGGAGGGGGTGAGGGGGGGCGCGGAAGAGGAAGGGAGTTGACGATGTTGTCTCAGAGATTCCAGCGTGCTGCAGCTGATGGTAGCTTGCTTCTCCTCCCCCTGGTACTCATCTCCCTTTCGTCCTTACCCTCCCTTTCTTTCTCCTCCTCCTCCTCCTCTTCCTCTCTTTCTCCTTTCCAGAAGGAAAGGGAGGTGAAACTGCATATTGAGTTGGGACGGTGATAGGAGGAGGAGGAGGAGGAGGAGGAGGAGGAGGAGGAGGAGGAGGGGAATAATGAGGTGAGGGCAGGAGGAGGATGAGGAGGAGGAGGAGGAGGAGGAGGAAGAGCTTGGGCGAGGTGGGAGCAGGACAAGACTGGATGAGGATACGGGAGGAGGGGGGCAGGAGGAGGAGGAGGAGGAGGAGGAGGAGGCTGAGATGGCGGAGGAGGAGGAGGAGGCAGTTGATAGAGAGCGCTGGTTACATCGCCCACGTGAACAGGTCGAGGAGCCACTCATGCAGCTTCAGGTCACGAATAATTCAGAACCCTCGCAGGGCGTTTCTGGGCCTTGTGCAACGCTTCGCTGACGACGACCACAACACCGAGACGACACCGACGTTGGCGCTGAGGACAATGGGTGCACGCAAGAGATCATATTCACCACCAGTGCGGGCCATTGAGGGCGAGGTCTCAGACCCCAAGAGCTTCGCGACCCCCACCGAGGATGACCTCGAGCGCGATGCCGCAAGGTGTGCCCCACCTGGTCTGCTCATCTATGGGCTGACCATGTGACCTCATCCTACGCCTGGGCCACCGATGTGCACACCATCGGCCCATCACCAATGCACCATCTCCGACCGACGTCGTGAACACACAGAGGAGTACCTAGCATACCAAGCGTTGCTAGCAGCCGCGCAGGCAGCTCAGATCACGGCTGCCAGTCGAGGAGCCTTGCATTTGCAGCAGGCAGAGCAGTTGTTTCGGGAGCCGTCGACACGCAAACAGAGAATGTTCTCCTCACGCTGGGAGTTCCTGCGCCATTGGATCCATCTCTCCGATGAGGTCGCAGCCCTCCTAAGCGGGGCAGGTTCCAGGTCCGATGAAGTTCACCACTCTGGGCTGGATGACCCAGACGATCAGCACGGTGCAGTGATGGCACTTGATGCCTACCGTTGGCCCGCCACGGCGCCATTAGTGTGTTGGTAGAGTAGGACATGCTGGGCCCACTTCTTCTCGCAGGCAGCTCTCGCATTGCCAGGACTCGGCTCGCTTTTTGGCGGCTCCTGGCCCGCCTCGGGACCATCCCTGTCATCGACGCGTGCTTCTCTAGGGATGAGGGTCGCACGAAATGCGGTTCATTTAGTTGTTTGAATGGCAAGGGACATGCGGCTGACCAGCGAGGGTCTTGCGTGCCCGTGCGCGCGCGCACCCCACCGACCAAGTGTTGCCTCAAGTTTCGCTTCACAGCTCTCGAGGCGAGTGGCAAATGCGCCTCGAAGCAGCATCTACATGTCGTGAATGCTCCCAATGATCGGCCCGAGCTTCCGGGCATGTCAGCCGCCGATCGAAGTTTTCCAGAGCTGGCATTGCGCCTCTCCTTTTCTGCACGACCATGGTCGGGCACCTCGGCCATGCGGGGTGAAACAGTTGCGTTGCACGCGACGACCGGATAACCTCAATATGCCATTGACGCCCTGACGGCGCACCCAAAGTTAACTCGACAATCGGGCGGACCAGGACACCAGCCCGATGCTGAGCACAGACAAACAGGTAGATCCCGCACGGCTAGAGAGCCAGTCCTGCACAGGACTCGGGAAGAAACATGCATGCAGACTTGGCCTTCGGAGAAGAACACATGGTAATGCTGTCACTCAGGCACCGTCCGTCCATCTGCATGCTGGCCAGCCACGCCTCCTCTACGTTCCATGCGAATTCAGAGCGTTTTTTTGTGGGGAATCCAACCTTCACTATGAAGATCCGCCCGAACCGCCAGTTTTGCCAGTCGCCGCGGGCCCTGGCCTTACGACTTTGAGACCCTTTGGATGGGTCTCGAACTGGAAAGCAGAGAGCTGCCCCGCTGCAAGAGGCTTGCGTCCGTCGCAGCCTCGGATGATTCTGTGCCAGAGCCTCGGGTTGGCCTGACAAGGCCGTCAAGAAAATGACGAGACCCAATCTGAAATCTGGCGCGAACTCCCACTGCAAACATCCCTCGGAAACTGGACCGTCAAAATTAGAACACGGACCCGTCGAAAAGCGCCGATAAGTGTTTTTTCTGCCTTAATGTGACATGTGGCCTTGGGGCTCTCACCTTAGCGCGGCGCTAGGACGAAAGTCCCACTTTGAGAAGGAACCGCCCTCCATCCTTGAAACTGCTTTGCACCGTTAGGACGGCGGCTCGGAGGCGAGAGCCACATTTTGAAAGCGTCTCTTTCGGTCAGTCACATTGTTGCAGATGTTTTGATACGAATGTGCGTGGCGCTGACGCGAGAACCATATTTTGAATCTTGCTCCTCCGCCATTCGTGTAACTGGTGCAAACTTAAGACAACTGCCCTCGGCCCTAAGGCGAGACCTCCATTTTGAAGGCCACCCGCCCTCCATCAGTGAAGCCCTTCATTTTGAAAGCCACCCGCCCTTCATCCGTGAAACGGTTGCAAATGTCAAGTTTCAGGATCCCACATGGTGAGGCAGTTTCGGGCGAAACGCCCGACCTGCCCTACCAACACGTCTGGGGGTGTGACAGGAGGAGGAGGAGGAGGAGGAGGAGGAGGAGGAGGAGGAGGAGGAGGAGGAGGAGGAGGAGGAGGAGGAGGAGGAGGAGGAGGAGGAGGAGGAGGAGGAGGAGGAGGAGAGGGAGGAGGAGGAGGAGGAGGAGGAGGAGGAGGAGGAGGAGGAGAAGGGGGAGGAGGAGGAGGAGGAGGAGGAGGAGGAGGAGGAGGAGGAGGAGGAGGAGGAGGAGGAGGAGGAGGAGAAGGAGGAGGAGGCGGAGGAGGAGGAGGAGGAGGAGGAGGAGGAGGAGGAGGAGGGGGAGGAGGGGGCGGGGGAGGAGGAGACGAGCTGGCAGAGGTCTCTGGAAGTCTCCAGAGGCCTCCAGGGGCCTTCCGAGGTCCCGGGATCTCTCTGGAGGCCTCTGGCGGCCCGGGAGGGGTCCCGCACGGTCCAGGCCTTGGATCCTCGATCCCGAGGCTCCGCCCAAACTCCGCCTCTTGGACCCCTCCCGAGGCCTGCCCTGGCCAGGGTCTCGAGGCCCGTCTGGGCGTGGCGACGAGGGTCTCCGGGACGGCACAGGGCGTCGAAGCGCGGCAACAGCTTGCGGCGACGACGGACGTCCGACGACCAGCGGCCGACGACCACCAACGGCGTCCAGAGGCCTCCAAGGGTCTCCGCAGGTCTCCTGAGCGGGTCTTGCCAGAGGTAGCCCCCAGAGCACCCGTGACGAGGCCAAGAGGAGCCCAGGGGGAACCAGAATGGCGCGAAAACCTGGCGCGAAACAGATCGGGACTCAGCAACTTCAGAGTGGTGATCTGTGAAGCTTGCCGTCCTTGAAAGATGGCAGCGACAGATGCTGAGACAGCGCTCGCCTGGAGTGGGGCGGCATTTTGTCTGTCGACCTATCCTAGCGGCTCCAGGGGGCGCGCTGGGCGTCAATGTGGGGGTCTCCATGTTGGCGCCTGGCGAACTTCGAAAGCTAGAGGCCACTGCTGAATGTATCACCTTCCAGGGGCCGACTCTGTGTCCAAGGCTCGAGGCGGTATGGCGGTACATACATGAGTGCGTCAGTCCTGAAAACTCAGCTGGAAGTTGCCCTGTGCATGAAGGTGTCGCGGTCTCGTCGGGCAGCGTCCCCGCGCAAGCAAGGGACAGGTCAGCGCAAACTAAGTGGGTTACCTCTTGCAGGGCCCCCCGCTAGCTCGGCAGATTGCGTCATCGTGGCACTGGAGGAAACAACAGACGGAGGGAACTACGATGTGCCCGCAGGACCCTTATGAGCAGGCCGTCACATTGCACAGGGTTGCAGTGGAGAGCTGGTGCCGTTTACTTGGACACTTTGGGAGCCTCGGTTGGGAGAGATTCTTCTAGCAGGCAATGGCTACCGCAGTCTATGTAGACTTCTGGCGGCGCGGCAAGCAACCTCCAAGAGGTCCAGAGTAAAGAAATCGGCCACTGGACCTTTCCAGGGGTGCGTTCTAACCGAGGAATCCAGCCGAATCTAGCAACGACCATGAGGGCGTCCACAGCGGACCAAAGGAGGGAGCACGCATAGTCGTCGTCGTCGTCGTCGTCGTCGTCGTCGTCGTCGTCGTCGTCGTCGTCGTCGTCGTCGTCGTCTGCTCGCAGTCCCGAGGAGCTCTGGGTGCTGCTGCGCGGCCTGCTTCAGGGTGGCCCGCCCTGCGGCGGCGCGGCCGGGTGCCGCGCGGGGCATCGCCGCCGCCGCCGTCGCCGTCGCCGTCGCTCGCATTCACCGTCGCCGCTGCCGCCGCCGCCGTCGTCGCCGTCGTCGCCGTCGTCGCCGTCGTCGCCGTCGTCGTCGTAGTCGTCGTCGTCGTCGTCGTCGTCGTCGTCGTTGTCGTGTCGTCAGCCGTCGTCGTCGATCTTCCATGATATTGGGCGACGATTGGTAGAACTCGGCGATGAACTAAGAACGGTGGGCAGACCTTTCGATGAGTTTTGGCCGAATTAGCGACCATTGACTTCGGATCCAGGCTAGCATGGCTTGCCAGCATACAGGTTTCCGTAAACATCCAGGCAAGTAGATCACGAACGTCGTGGTCGTGGTCGTGGTCGTCGTCGTCGTCGTCGTCGTCGTCGTGGGCCGAGTACAGTCCGGTCGCATAGTAACGATGAGCAACTTTCCAAGGTTACCCTTGCATCCTTCCCTTTGGGCTCATCCTTGACCGTTTTCGCTGGCCGCGCCCCTCTCGAAAAGGCCCTTGCATCCTTATCGTGCATCCTTATTATGCGTCTCGACTGTAAGTAGATCACGAACGTCTTCGTCGTCGTCGATCGTGGGCCGAGTATCTGGGGTCGCCGAGTGTCTGGGCCACGACCCCCGATCGAGGGTTCGAGGTTCGCTGGGCCTGTCAGAAATCCATCCAGAAGTGCAAAGTCTCCCGGATGAGGCTGCACCAACGTTGAGCGCATGTCGGCCGCAGCCGCTGTCGTCATCGTCCTCGTCGTCCTCGTCGATCGAGGATCGAACGAGTCCTCCTTACATCCTTCGCGGGCCCCCCTCGTCGCCATGGCTGGATGCGGATCGACAAATGGGTCAGGATAGACCCCCGAAGGGGTTTTAGGACATATGTTAAGCGGATGATGAGAACGAGGAGTATGAGGAGGAGGAGGAGGAGGAAGAAGAAGAAGAAGAGGGGGATTGCTTGAGGGTCTACATCTTTGGACTTGTCTTGGGCCCCTTTTGCAACTCCAGAGGTCTCCAGCTCGGGGGACACCTCGAGGTTCCCACAGACTTCGGGAGACCTCTGAAGACATCCAGCTGTGGTCCGTGGTCGCCGTCGATCAAAGGTTGATGATGCAGCCTCAACAGTTTGGATTTTGTGTATGTGTGTGTGTGTGCGTGTACGTTTTTGTTTTGCCTCCACTGGCAAGAGGCCTCTGAGCACCTCTGGCAGTCTCCTGGAGGCCTCGAGACGTCGTCCGATGCCCGTCGTCGTCGTCGTCGTCGATCGAGGGTCGAGTGTCGAGGCTGTGAGGGTTCAATGTTTTTCTTCTAAAGTATGTGCGCTGCCGCAGTCGTGGCCTCGCTCGTTAGGGTTCTCTGCCGCAAGGGTGCAATCTTTTGTTAGGGGCCTCCAGAAGCGAGGGGCCTTCAGGGAGCCCTTGAGACACCTTCGGAATCCTCTGGACGCCGTCGTCGTCGTCGTCGTCGTCGTCGTCGTCGTCGTCGTCGTCGTCGTGTTTGTCGTCGTAATCGTCCTCGTCGTCGTCCTTGTCGTCGTAATCGTCGTCGTCGTCGGCGTCTTTCCTGTCATCTCCTTTTTCGTCGTCGTCGGAGGAAGAGGAATATGAGTAGAGGAGGGGGAGCGGGAGGAGGAGGAGGAGGAGGAGGAGGAGGAGGAGGAGGAGGAAGAGGAGGAGGAGGGTAGGTCTTCACTTGGTGTCTCCTATGTTTTAGGGCCGGTTCTCGCTGGTTTTTGAATGACGCGCTTGTCTGTGTCCTCACCTTGTTTGATGGCCTCTGCTCCCTTCGGAACGCTTCCGAACGTTTCCGACGGCTTCCTGAGATGCTCGGACGGAGGACGCGGAGAGAGGAGTGAATAATGGGGGGGGGGGGAGCGGAGATGAGGAGGAGAGGAGAGACGGAGAGGGAGGGTTGGGGGATGGGAGAAGGGGTGAGGCAGAGAATGCAGGGACGAGGGAAGAGGTCAAGAGGTCAAGCGGTCAAGTGGGGGGAGGGGTTTGGGGGGAGAGGAGCAGCAGGAGGAGGGAAGAGGAGGAGGACGAGGATGAGGGGATGAGGAGGAGGAGGAGGAGGAGGAGGAGGAGGAGGAGGAGGAGGGAGGAGGGAGGAGGAGGAGGAGGAGGAGGAGGGATGAGGAGGAGGAGGAGGAGGAGGAGGAGAGGGACGAAAAACAGAAGCAGGAGGGAGGAGAGGAAGATCCACCCCCCCTCCACCTCCAGCTGCTCCTCCTCCTCCCTCCCTCCTCCCCCCTTCTCCATACTCCTCCCCCTCTCCCTCCTCCCTCCTCCCCTCTGTCCCCCTCCCTGCCCTGTCGGCCCCCCTCCTCCCCTCCCCCCCTTCCTCCCCGCCCCCTTTTACCACATCCCTCCTCCTATTCCTGTCCTCTCTCTCTCTTGCGCCGCCGCCTTTGCTGGCGGCGACGACTGCGACCCCCAGCGTCGTGGTGCGTCGAAGGCTCGCCGACGCGGACGCCAGCCGGGTGCTGAGGCTCACAGCCTCGCAGGGCGAGCTGCTGGAGCAGCTGCAGGAGGAGCTCTTGCCCCCTCCCTGGCGGGGGGCAGGACGGGCATAGGGAGGGGGGCTCATCAGTGGCATCGAGAGGGGGCATATGCTCAGGGGGAGGGGATGCCATCGAACGTTTTTTTTTTTTGATTGAAGTTGTTTTCTGAGGCTATCGGTCCCCAGGGTGGCGTCCATCCGCTGCGCCGCGTCGAGGGCGTTCCGAGGTTGCTGGAATCGTCCCGAACGGCCGCCGGAGAGCCGAGCTATGGCCCGAAATTCAGAAGGCAAGGATCATGGGGGGGACAGGCTCAGGGGGGATTCATCGATCCCCAATCGCCCACTGATCGCCGATGGGGGCCTGATGGCCAATTCCGCCCAGGAACGTGCGGTTTCGCGATCGGGGGCTTGTGGGAGATCAGTCGGCGATGTATCGCCGATGCCAGCTCGATGTTTTCCCACCTGACCTGGTCCCCCCTGACCTTTCTCGCTCGACGAAATCTATACACATCCACTGCTCCCTGGCCAGGCCCATTCTGAACACTGGAGCTGTGTACACGCCCTGCTGGCCGAGCCAGGAGGGCGTGGCGTATACACCGCTGCTGGGTTCAGGATGAGCCTGGCCAGGGAGCAACGGATCTGTATATATATATATATATATATATATTGCGTTGATCTACGTTCCCTCATAAGAGGCGGGCTTCGAGGATCGAAGTTCGAGGTTTTGGGAGGTCTTCCGTCCTCGCTGCATCGCACGTCGACGCTTGACGTTGGAGGTTTTTGGACGATTCTCGTCCGTACCTCCGGGAGGCTCCTCGACGCCACGGCTGGATCCGCCTCGATGTTTTATGCCAGGACGCACTTCGGGACAGGTCCAGGGCCAGGGCGCAATGCTCTGCCCCCGAGCTCATGCACCCTCGCACCGTGAACAGCTCACGACGGAAGGCCAAACAAGAGGACAGAGAGGAGCAAGGGCAGGAGGACGGGTGGGGGAGAGGGGGAGGGGGACAAGCTAGGTGCGCTCGCGTGATATCTGACATCCTACCCCTCCCTCCCATCCCTTACCATGGCGCAGATCCCCTGCGATGCATTGTAGAGCACGGCATGGCATGGCGTAGAAGAGCACCGCAAAGCGTAGTATCAACCTAGCATTGCATTGCACGCCGTGGCATGGCACGGGAAATGACGCCAGCGCTGCAGCGGGAGCACGAGTCGAAACGAGCGGAAGCGCGGAAATGAGGCCAGCGCTGCAGCGGGAGCACGATTCGGAACGAGCGGAAGTACGGAAATGAGGCCAGCGCTGCAGCGGGAGCACGATTCGGAACGAGCGGGGCCCGAAAATGAGGCCGGCGCCTCAGCGAGAGCAGAATTTTGAAAAAAATGCAGGCGTAAACCCAACTCCAGGGAGACCTGTGTGTATAAAACAGTACGCGGGGGGGGTCGGCCACTTTCAGGCCGCCTTCGGGGGAAGAGGGAGAGTAGTATTCATATTGAGTAATTGTGGAGGAGGAGGAGGAGGAGGAGGAGGAGGAGCAGGAGCGGGAGCAGGAACAAGAGCAGGATCAGGAAGAGGAGGAGGAGGAGGAGGAGGAGGAGGATGCTGAAAAGGAGGAGGAGAAGGAGGAGGAGGAGGAGGCTGAGGAAGATGATAATGATGATGATGATGATGATGATGATGATGATGATGATGATGATGATGATGATGATGATGATGATGATGATGATGATGATGATGATGCTGCTGCTGCTGCTGCTGCTGCTGCTGCTGCTGATGATGATGATGATGATGATGATGATGATGATGATGATGGTGATGGTGATGGTGATGGTGATGGTGATGGTGATGGTGATGGTGATGGTGATGGTGCTGGTGCTGATGCTGATGCTGATGCTGATGCTGATGCTGATGATGATGATGATGCTGATGCTGATGCTGATGCTGATGCTGATGATGATGATGATGAGGAGGAGGAGGAGGAATAAGAATAATAACACGAATAAGACGAATAATACTAATAATAAGAATAATCATAAGAAGAAGCATACGAATACCGAGAACAATACTAGTAGTAATAATACGAATAATAATACGACTATGGATAAGACGAATACTAGTACTAGTAATAAGAACACTATTAATAATAGTACGAATAAGAATAATACGACGAATCATACTAATACTAGTCATACGAATACTCAGAATACTACTAATAAACATACGAATGCGAATAATACATACTACTCATAATAATACATACGACTCATAACAATACGAATGCGAATGCGAATCACAATAAGAAAAATAATACTACGAATAATAATACTACTAAAGATAAGAAGAATACTAATACGACTACGAAGAAAACGAAGACGACGAAGAAAAGAAGCGGAGGAGGAGGAGGAGGAGGAGCAGGAGCAGGAGCAGGAGCAGGAGCAGGAGCAGGAGCAGGAGCAGGAGCAGGAGCAGGAGCAGGAGGAGGAGAGGAGGAGGAGGAGAGGGGAGAGGAGGAGAGGAGGATGAGGATGAGGAGGAGGATGAGGATGATTGGGATGATGAATGATGATGATGAATGATGATGATGATAAATGATGCTGATATGATGATGAATGATGATGATGATGATGATGAATGATGATGATGAATTGGATGATATGATGAATGATGAGATGATGATGAAATGATGAATGATGGCATGGATGAATGATGACTGATGAGTGTGAGAATGATTGATGATGAGAGTGATAGATGAAATGATGAGGATGATGATGATGATGATGATTCTGCTGATGATGATGATGATATTGAATGATGATGCATGATGAGGAGGAGGAGGAGGCAGGAGGAGGGTGAATGGAGGAGGATGAGGGAGGAAGGGAGGGGAGTGGGGATGAGGGACATGTGGAATGGAGGGGAGATGCGGAGCAGTTGTTAATACGGCAAGTGAGGAGGGCGTGAGTTTGTGAGGAGATTAGGAGGGCAGGCTGGCTGGAGGACTATGATGGGACGGGCGCGTAGGACGGACACTGTCGAAGAGTGTGGGAGGAGGTAGGAGGGGAGAGCGGAGAAGGATGAGTAGGAGTGAGGAGGATCTAGAAGAGGAGGAGGAGGAGTGAGGAGGAGGAAAGTGGGGGGAGGAAGTTGACAGAGCGTAGGAGGGGAAAGATGGAGGGAGGAGGAGGAGAGGGGAGGTGAGGAGGAGAGGAGGAATGAGGACTGAGGAGGAGGAGGAGGAAGGAGGAAGAGGAGGAGGAGGAGGAGGAAGGAGGCATATGGAAGTGAGGAGGAGGATATAAGGTGGGGGAGGAGGAGGAGAGGACAGGAACGGGTTAGAGGCAGGAGTGAGGATGATGAGAACGAGGAAGGCAGAGACCGTGAGGAGGCGGTGCGCGAGGTGACATACGCTGGAGGGGCGGCCCATGGCGTCTATGTGAAAGCTGGGAGAGGCAGCGGCGCCGGCGGGGACACCCGCGCCGCTGGCGGGAGAGCGCACTGAGCGGGCCCTGGGCGCCCGGGCGCGCGGGCGTGCGGGGACCTTGTCCGGCGTGGCCGTCGGCCCCCCTGGGTGATGGGGGTGCCGGTCCCGCTCGGGAGCCGGCGGCCAGAGCAGGAGCAGGAACATGAGCAGGAGCAGGAGCAGGAGCAGGAGCAGGAGCAGGAGCAGGAGCAGGAGCAGGAGCAGGAGGAGGAGGAGGAGG